GTTATAAAAATGAAAAGATATGATGTTTAAATTTTTTTAAAAAAAGAAATGTATTGATTTTTGTAGTTAAAAATGAAGTATATGTTCAAATTGATTTTTTGTAGTTAAAAAAAAAAGAAATTTAAAAGGAGGTAATGATTTTTGAAGTTAAAAAAATGAAATTTAAAGGAAGTTACAAAAAACGAAAGGATATGATATTTAAAAAAAGGCGAAATTTAAAAGAAGAGGTATTGATTTTGAAGTTAAAAAATTTTTTTGTTTTCAAAAAATAAACTGAGAACTTATTTAGATAATTCAATTAAATCTAGTATTTTAGTTTTTAATCAATCTCGTGATCAATCAAAGGCGTTTTGACATAATACTGTAGTTTTTTTGATTTGTAATTTTTTTTTGTTCTAAAAAATATTTTGCTACAGAATATCTCTCACGCGAAAAATGCCAGAACTTATTAATGCAAATCCAACAATTTATATTCCTTCAAAAACTTCTCATAGAATCATAACAGCTAAAGATGAAGACGAAAATATTGAAGATATAATAGATTCTCAGGAAGTATTCGGTAACGTTTTGTGAATGTCTACTTTCAATTGGCTTGACTTTAAAATATATCATTATACTAATAAAAAAACAAAAACGTATTAGACTTGATAAGATCAATTTCAGATCCTGAACATCCACTATCTCTTGAAGAATTAAACGTGACACAACTTGAGCACGTCTCAGTCGACGATGATAAGGATCGTGTTATAATAGAATTTACCCCTACTATACCACATTGTTCTATGGCTACTCTCATTGGTTTATGTATACGAGTTAGATTACTTCGTTCCTTACCTGAACGTTTTAAAGTTGATATCAACGTCAGAAAAGGAACTCATCAATCTGAACAAGCAGGTATGTGCAATTAGCCTTTTATGTACTTTTAAAAAAGTAATAGAATTTTAATTGAAAAGTTTTGAATATTTTAGTTAACAAACAATTGAACGATAAAGAACGTGTTGCCGCTGCTCTTGAAAATGCTCATTTACTTGAAGTTGTAAATCAATGTTTGACCACCGCTAATTCTCGTAGTATCAAATAAACATCTTCAATGAGAATAATATCTCGACAAGAACATAATGTATTTTTAAATTTTGTAAGAAATAATTAAGCTAAGCCTAAAACCTTTTAATAAAGTTATTTAATTTTGTTTTACAAAAAAAAAGAGAACTTTTTTAATTATGATCAATTGGAAAGGAATAGACTAGCAAGATTTACCTAATTCAAAGATGATGTGAGAGATGATTGTAATAAAAGAAAGTATAAAGCAGGATAGGATAAAAAAAAATGTTCATAATGTTTATATAAAATGTTATAAAATCCACTTTTAAATAACCCTTTTGGAATGATATCATTGTTCGATTGTATAATGTTATAATTGGATTTGCAATGTCATTGTGTGGTTTGCTGTTCTCCACGGAAGAGGTAGAAATGTCTATAATTGAAATATTATCTATCTAAAATTAAAAAAAAAAGAAAAAAAAATATATATATATATATATACGATATGTATAACTAATAGCTATCTATTGCACCTTTAAAAAAAAAAAGTTTCATATTGTCTGTTTATCAAATTAATGACCAATATTTCATCTATCGTTATAAAAGGAATGGCTTTGTTTTACCTTTTACCTTTATACAGGGAAATGTTCAGAATTGATAAGGAGGATTTACTAAACTCGTGGTGCTATTATCGAAACAATTTATGTTAATCAATACTCTTCCGATTTTCAATTAATATATAGACAGATTAACAAAAAAAAAAATTCTATACCTTGCGGCTCTTGTGTCGATCGTTGATAAAAATGCGCTTGCTTCGTGTTTCGGGGAATTCTTTCTTTTCTTTCTACCGACATGAATTGGAACCATATTACTTGACTCTCTATCTGATGCGACAGATGTTTCATGTTCTGATGAATCATTCATTAATTGAACGGCTAATAATTTTATAGATTAATGATTTTTTAATATTTTTTTTTTTTTTAAAATTAAAAACCCACCATTTCTCATTTATAAATTAAGAACTTTAACCAGATAAATACCTAAAGTCTCCTTGAAGTTATCGGCTTTTACTTTGGGAGTCAAATCATCGGAATTATTTTCCAAATTCATAATATAAGGAGTGATAACTAATCTAGGTTTCTCAGCCTCTAATATTCTAGATGACCTAATTCGATAAGCCTCTTTTTTGACCTTTTCAAATCCTTCTTCTTGTTTCCATTCTGCCATTAATTTTTCTTCTAATTTTGTACCACCAATATTTTCAATTTCTTTGTGTTTACATAGCATAGGGACTATTATTTGACGATCAAGCCAAATATCAACAGGTTGTAAAGGTTGATTATTTTCATTCGTGATCTCGTCTTCAAAAGATAATGATAAATCTACATTGTCGAAATTATTTTCTGAGGAGGTTGCCTTAATATAAGTTGACCATTGATATTTTTCTATACGTTCTTTTTGTATCTGTAATTCGTAAATAATAAAATAATAATGTAATTAATCACAATAAACGAATATATGCATAATTAACGTAATGATAGACTTACATTTTCTATATATTGTTGTAATTCCGGAATGTCCAAAACCTGAGCAATATCAGAAAAGTATAATGCAATCGTGCTAGCCAAGGCTCGTTGACGAGCAAACCCATCAAGTTTCTCGTCTTTAGCTTCAGATTGTAATTTGAAGACAACTGGAATTCCTCGAACAATTTGATCAGCTCTGAACCGTATCAATAATGAACGTAATATTACTAATAAAGCTATATTATCAGCAGGATTTGAATCATTTAACAATGTATATTTATATAACGTCAAGTGAAGAGTATTCAGGAAATGAATAGCAGGTTGATTGAAATATGTAATCTGTAAAAGAAAGTTACTGAATTAGTCTTGATATTGGATCAAAGATTCGTGTTTAATTTAAAAGTAAAGTCTTTTGACCTGTAATGGCTCAATTTCTTTGGATTCCTCTGATGTGTTAACATTATTTAAAAATGTGGAAAGTACTTGGGCATAAGCGATCCTTACACCTATGATGTGTAAAAAATTAGTAAAATCAAACTAATTGGACTCTATCAGCTAAATATAATTAACTTACTAAGGTCTTCATCAGCGCATAAATCAATTGAATTATGAAATATTTCAACAGGAACTTCACCTCTTGCCTTTCCCGATGACTTACTCTCAGCTTCTTTATTGGTCCGTACAACCATGCTCAAACATTTTAAAAGAGTTTTACGTAATAAACTAAGAGGTATTCCGTCGGTCATATAACTGCTATTGCTATTGCTACCCTGTTGAGATTCAGTACTAGATTGTAATTTTAAATGTTGAACAATACGTTCTACAATATCACCGATTTGGTTGGCATAGTAAACGTGTGTTGCGAGACTACCTATAAATTTCGCGTTAAAAAAATTGGTTGTTACTTTTTTTCAAAAAAAAAATAAAATAAAATAAAAATAAAATAAGGTATTTACCAATGCAAATTATAAGTCTCCGTATAAATATCGTTTCTAAATCTTTAACCTTTTCTGTCAATGTATTATCGGTTTTAAAATTTAAGTCTACGTCAATTTTTTCAAATTTAATATCGTCATTTTTCAATGAATTTATCAAATGACTAAGTAAATAATCCAACACTTCTAACACAGAAAGTCCAAAAAGTGTTAAATCGCTTGTTAAAATAGACGTTAACATTTCAATAAATGTAATTTTTTTGGATACATCAGAATTCCCTGACGACTCAAGTCGTTGTATTATATCTCCGACGAGTATATGGCGGTACTGTTGCTATAAAACATTTAGACATCATATGTATTAAAAAATAAATAAATAATAATAATAATAATAATAAAATTTCAAATTAATTTACCTGAATGGAAGAAAGGATAACCAAAATTAAACTAATGCCAAATGAATTTGGCCACCAAAATTTATTTTCATCCAAGATCGTAAAAGTAGGTTCGAGATAATAACGTAAATTGGAAGCGTTTGACATATTAAATAATTGTTCTAAACAATGATAAGCAAGAAGAGTATTATCTTCGATTGAAATCATTGCAGAACTAGCCGAAAATCGACGCGATTGTGACGCAGAAGGATCCGCCGGATTATTATCACTGAATAATTTGTAAATTTAATATTATTCGAAAAAAAGAAACGCAAATTTCACCGAATAATACCCTCATAATACTTACTTTTTTTGTAAAGCCTCCAAGCCCATTTTATCGTCAGTTAAATTATGTAAAATAGCTGGGATGATATATTGCAATTGTGTTTTAGCATCGGGCGCATTTAAAGCACTGGAAGTTGCTGCTCCTTGAAGAGCATAAAGACCTATAGAACGATACCTAATTTGTTCGATCTTTACCATCAGTAATGAAATAATGAAATTAACTTGAATACCAATTATGTTAATTAATAAAAACCTAACCTTCTTTCTAAATTATCTAAATTTTGATCATCATATTTCCATGTAGCATATTTAGCAAATTGATCGATCAAACTTTCATAAATGGAAGTAAATTCTGTATCAACTCCAAGTGTAGACCCATTGTGATATGCGCAAAAAGTAATGAACTATTAATCAACCAATGATCAATCTTAATGCTATATTTATTAGAATGGGAAATTATTTTTATATTAAATTTTACATACCACTGATGTAGCACGTGAAACCAAATCAATATCATTTGTACTTAATGAAGCCGAAATAATCTTGACAACATTTTTTGAAAATAAGTTAAGATCTTTTTTACATTCATCAATAAGAGCCTTGATAATTTGTAACGATACTTCTGTATCCCTGAGAAATTAATAAAAAAAAACAAATTGAAATTATTTTTCCAGATAATCACTGATTGTTTTATAAACTTACTGTTTTCTTCTCTTTCGAACATCAGTGGCTACCCTTTTTTCCAGATAAATACCACATTTAGTTAGTTTAGCTGGCTTCGAGTTAGCATAAAAAACAAGATAAGAAAGTTCGCTTGACTTTGGAAGCGTCTCTCCTGGACCTGTAGGATAACAGTTATTTATAAGGGTGGCATGTTTTATCCAGCCTTGACAAACCCCAGCGCAAGACATTCCCATTAGAATAAGTTTGAAATATAGGATTAAAAGGACGGTGTAAAGGAAAGTAGTGGGGAATTTGTCTGTGAATTAAACGAAAAGAAATAAACGAGTGTTGAGTTATATTATAATAAATCAATAGGATTCCCCTTCCGGATGGCGAACTAGTAAGATACTATCGGTTTTAAAAGTGGTAAAAAATAGCTTATGAAAGAAAAAAATTATATATATAAAATTTTTTTAAAAAAATGCAAGTTGAAAAGTTTTCAAACTTTTATGTAACACTTTGTGCTTGTTTGTAATTGTATTTTTACTAATTGCGAAGTTCAACCAACTATACCAACTACAGCTTTGACTTTCTAAATTTGGAAATAAAAAAAGCAATATGGATTATTGGATCTGATCTACAGACGATTATTAATGATTTTATAAAATTATCCGATCTTCATGCAACTTTGAATAAATTCGCATCTCTATTTTTCAAATATGCAAGTAGCTTCTCAAGCAAGATACACTGTTAAGCGTCGTACCAATTGTCCACACATTCAAGATCATGTTTCTCCGGATTGGGCTAAAGTTACAATTGACGTTAGTAAACCATGCACCGTTTGTAACGATGCCAGCGAAAATTGGCGCTGTTTAGAATGTCAAGGAGTATATTGTAGCAGGTAATTGAATGTATTTTTAAATCTATAGTATTTTGGATAATGCATTATTTAAATTATTATCAATAGGTATATCAAAGGCCACGCTGCTGAACATAATCAAGACACTTCTCATCCAATATCCGTTTCTTTTAGCGATCTTTCTACTTGGTGTTATGCTTGTGACGATTATGTAACTGATCCGGTTAGTTTTATACAATAGAGTAACATACGTATTCTTCATAAGACATCATTTATTTTTCTGCAATCTTTATCTTTATTATAGCTTCTAAAACCTATCGAAATAGCTTTACATCTCTCTAAATTTGGGACCATGCCTTCAGTTACAGAAGGTATTGAAATTGCGAGTGAGGAGAACACTACAGCAGGTGGGGAGGGAACCAGCGGTTCTTCGTCAAAAGTTTAAGATAGTTCCTAGCACGTATCGTAGTATATATATTTCTTGATAAAAACATAACAAATAAAATATAAGGTATATATTGGTTGAAATGATTACTATCTGAAACGTCCTTAACAAAAAGGAGACTTTATAAATATATTTATTGAATCCGATGCCGAAAATTGATTTAATAATAAAATAATAAATAAGTAACTAACTATTATAAAAATTACCATAAATGTTCGTGTAAAATTTATGGAATTTCGTCTTCAACGTCACTAAAGTGTACATATTTCAAATCTTTTTGTTTATGTGGTTTGGTTTTTGTAGCTGAAGGTATTGCAAGTTTTTCATGAGAGTTTTCAGCTGATTCTTGTGACAGTGTTTGATTATTTTCATTATTTTCATTAATAGTTGGTTCCCTTATTGAAGGCGGTTTTTCCTGTTCCGAATCATCGGTCGATACAATTTTGACTTTAGGTGGTGTGGGAGGTCTTGGGATTGATGAAAAAACATCAGGTTCAGATTCATTTTCATTTTTTTCATTATCTATTATTGACGTTCCTTTGAAATCTTGTTTGATTTCGGTTGATTGAGCACCTTTATATCTAGGACTTTCTGTTTCTATTTCAGAATGATCCAAATCACTATGGTCTGCTTCATTTGAATCATCATCAGTTAAAGGAGATCCACTTGTAGAGTTTCGAATTGAAGAGTCGAGAGTAGGTGGTGTAGGCACAATAAGTCCAGATGGTGGGATAGATGAGGATAGGTCTATATCCGAAGTTGTTGTTGTAGTACTGATCGGAATTGAATCATTTAACCGAGGTTTAGGAGTCCATGTGGAAAGTGCTACAGTAGCATTCGAAATAGCCTGTGATGTTTTCTCATAACCTGCATAAAACAAAGTCGAAATTTTAATAAAGAAATCAAAGATCATGCAGGTACTTAAATAATTTCCTACCTGTATATGTCTTCCTGGACTCGCCAGGTGTAGTTGTTTCCGTTGAAATCTGTTCAACAATGTCCTTACTATTATTAGCTATTATTATCAACTTTTCACCAAACTCAAGAAAAGCGTCTAATTGAAGTAATAATGCTGTTTGTAATTTTTGACGTTTAAAATCTGCTAAAGCCGTTTCTTCTATATATATATAAATATATATATTTTTTTTAATGTGTTAAATAAAAATTTCGTCTAAAAGAATTGATCGGTTTGATTATCTAAAAAAAATTTAACCACTTGTAATTTACCTTCAAGCGATTCTCTATCGACCTTTTCCAATTCCTTCTGAAAATCTTTAAGCTTTTGTTCAGCAACTTCGGGACGTTTTGAATGGGAAGCCTTTCGCTCTTCTTTTTCGATTTTATTCCAAAGTGATTCCTTCTTGAGTCGCTGCTCTCTCATTGTTTCTTCACGTGAACGAATATCTTTTAAATGTCCACGATACTGAGCGTAACGTTTTGCTAAATGAAAATACCTTTTTAAATATATATATATATATATATAATGTTTTTTTTTATCATACTAATTTAGACGTGTAAGAAATCATAACTTACCAAGAGTACCTTCGGATTCCGACAACTTTGCAATTAAAATAGCTAATTTCTCGGTAATATCACTTAAATCGGCACCTTCGCTTTTCCCCCAAATACTAAGATATTTTGCAGTTTCATTTTGTTCATATGTAAGAGTACTTAGAGAATCACACACCCCGCGTTCCGCCGTAAGCAATTTAGTCAAATGCTTGGTATCATTGTTTACTAGAATGTATGGGTAAAAAAAGATATAAAAAAGGTATTAATCAAAAAAAAAAAAAAAGATCTACAATAAAACAACTTACCCATAGAATTTATTGAGGACAGATTACGACGAATGTCGGTTGCGACAGTATCTAAATGAAAATTTTTGATAGCTTTCATATTTAACGATTTGCCCAAAAAATTTCATGATAAGATTTTAGTTTTTATATATGATCAGACCACGGTGTTACCAAATACGATAAAGGGTAAAAAAAACCGCATATTTTGAAAATGTACTTATCGAACTATACCGTTGTGATAACGACAAACATTCAAGAAAGTGTCACGTGAAAATATTACTGCGCCACGAAATTGATAATCCCATAATTTCTAAAATTACAAAATTTTAACATAAATAAAAGCAAATCGCTTTTCTTTGGTTACTAACATTTCTCACGAGGTACTTGCAGAACGTATAAACCTTTCGCCTTTTACTAAAGGTTTCCGTGTGGGTGCCTCATTGCAGTGGGATTAAGAATTTTTTGAACTTTCCTTTAAAAGGAAATTATTTTATAAATATTAGCGGGTATGGGCGTGATTCGTGGGTTTTCAGAAAATCATTACTGCAGTTGTTGTAGTGGACAATAAAAAAAAAATTGTCCCATAATTTGAAATTATTTCACTCTTTTTATTATATATGATCAATAGTGCGTGGTTTTTAACTCTTCACAACGCATAAATAATAACGATTCTATTAAAAGCACTTTTTCATCAGATAAATCTCTTTTCAAGAAATTTATCGAGGACGAATAAAGTCGTCTCAGAATTGAATAAAAATTTTTTGACTTTGATCTCGGGTGCGTCGTCTGAATTAATGACGTGTGGTCTTCGTTATCGCTCGTTTGAATTCGCTCGCAAGGATTGACGTTACATTTAAAATATATGTTATCGAGTAAAATAAAAATAAAAATAATAAAAAAAATTTATCCTAAGGTATTACAATTTCGATATAATGTAAATTATTAAAAATAGGGATTGGGTACAACCGGAGGATCCTAGAAACTGGTAGTTAGACCCGTTATCAATTTATTAATTTCGTAATCCGGATATTTGAAATCTATGTATATAATCCGTTAAATAAGTTTGACTTATAAAATAAATTATTCACAAGAAACATTTATGTGTAAATTAAAGATCTATAGGCGAGTTAATAAATTCAGGGAATAACTCTAGACCCGGGTAACCCGGGTCGTGATTTTTTAGACGGGTCCAATCACTAATTTATTATGTCTTTATAAAAAAAAATATTATACATTTATATATTATTTTCATATTAAAATAAAAAAAAGACAATTTATCTTTTCTATATGTCTAATCCTTTATCAATTAATTTTGGTGCAATACATTTTCGTAAGTAATTATTAAAAATTTTTTTTTTTTTTGTACTATTAATTATTGTAATATTACAGATTATACCTCAATCAAAATGAAGAATACCATTTTCATTTTTTAATATATAAAATATATTATTGAATAATTGATTCGACCTTTTTTTTAAAAAAAAAATTAATGGTCCATCTTATGGTCAAGTGACAAATCCATTTCAGGATTTTTTTCTAATTTTTTCATTTTGCCAATAGCATCAATGATCGGTTTTGCAGGACAGCCATCGGGAGCATAATGTACCACGAAATCGCCTTTAATATATCGTTTAGGGAAAGTATTAAACGTCCGATCATCTTGGTCTAAAAATAATGTCTGTTTTAAAATTGATTAATTAGTATTTGTCAGAAATGTCATATTGAAAAAAAAGTTATACATTTTCAACTTACACCAGGAACCCATTCTGGTTTTCGCATTAGGTCCCACATAGCACGTTGTTCATACATGTTACTTTTATAAAGGTCTCTTCGCGTTTGCGTCAGCCTCAAAAATTCTCGACTCCATTCAGAATTTCTAATTAAAAACACTCCGGCGTTAATCATTCTATCGTTTGATGGTCTTGCAACAATCAAATGTTTCTTTTCAAATTGTTCTTTTCCACCAACAAGGTCCGTAAATTTCTCTATAAGGCTTTCGATAGTTACATTATAATTCATAATTACAGTATCCATATCAAGCCAGAATAACCAGTCATAATGTGGAAGTACTTTTTCGATGCCATCAAATTTGCCCCAAACGGTTTTACGATTTTTGTAAATTTGCTCAGCAAATTCTGAAGACCTCCCTATGAAAGAGTATCCATTTCTTTCGGCATAAAGACGTTTATTTTCAGCTGTAAGACGAGCCGCGGGAAGCATACATAGATCGTTATAAACAAAACTGCTAGTTACCACGGCAATATTTAATTTATTTGGTTCATTTCGAGGATGACATATCAAAGTTTTGGATACTGAAAGGTGTTCAAATAAATCTTTCATATCGTCTTCTTGGAATATATGTCCAACAGCTACGGTCGATTCGATTGGGACGTTTTCTATAGCATTTGGAAAATCTATAATGTCAACGTCATCATTGACAAGGTATAAACTATTATTATCAGGATACTTTTGATAGTATTGAAAAGCTCGCGTTATCGTATTTGTAAAATTGCTGTCGACGACATTAATGCTATTCTTTGATTCGAGGATGGGGGCAACAGCATCACGGCCAAGGATAATAGCCATGTCATCAAAATCTAACATCATAAACGAACCCCATACAAGCATACGTTTTTGGGTCATTGTCAATGTACTTCCACGAATGACTGATCTTTCTAATATTTGTTGAAGTTTTTCAAGATTGATAAGAGTTTTGTCATTAATAATTACAAGATAATTATACGTGATGCCTTTCTTGCCGAGACTTTGCGCCTAATAATTAAGTTAATAAATTTGCACATCAATCAATTGTAAAATTACATTCCAGAATTAATTAATCTTATTGATAATTAATTTACTTACCCACGAAAGAATGGACTCTTGAAAGTCTTGACCGCTGATATTTGGAAATTCAACAATGTCATCATATTCAACAAATTCGGCAGTAAAGTCTCTCAACGTGCCTTTTTCTACACTTTTATATGGCTGTACCAAAAATTTATAATAGACATTACCATCCTGCCGAGTACACGGCTTTAAGTTATTCTTGATACCAAATAACGTTTCTCTTAATAACTTCCTTTGACGCATGGCTCCAATTGTAGAAGTGACTACAAACAATAAATTATAATGTCCGGAAATGTTTGGAGGATCTTCTCTAAATGGAGCGTCTTTGTCTTTTACATTAGATGTAGGAGGTGTTAAATTGTTGCCATCCGGGTCAAATGTGCCAACACTATTCTGGGCTACATATGGTGAAGACAGCAGGAAAATAAGCAAAGCAATGAGGAACGCCGCAACGTAAACGTTAACCTTACGAAAATGGTATATCGCCATCTTACTGTTTTTCTTTAATAACTATTAAAAGAAAAACTGAGAAAGAGGATGGATAATTTTGATTCGGACGTTTTAGGACAAAAAGATTTCAAAAAGTCGGATGGAATTTAACATTATCCGAATGGTAACTATAAAATTATTTTTAACTTTTTTTATCATTTATAAATAAACAAATGGTTTGTATTCTGAAATAAGTTAGCACAACTTCAGTGTTTGCTGTTGTAATACCTTAAGGATTGATTAGTATTTCTTAAAATAGTAAAACAAAGAAGATGATAACAGGAAACCTTGACTTGATAAGAACCTTTTACAAGAATAGAAGAGAAATATTACTGCACTTGATAAACAATATTATTTGTTCGATATTCTATTGATTTATATAATGTGTAAATTTAATTATTATTTATAAGCAAGTTTATTAATTAATTTTATTATATTAGGGAGCAATCTTACCTTTTTTTACTTAAATTGTGTTACATTTCTAACAGTTACATCAAAAAATGTTCTCGCGAAAATTTTTATAAACTTTAAAAAGTGATATTTTATTTATATGAATCGAAACTTTTTAAAACTCCTTTTTTATGTCTAATACTTTTCATCTACAGTATATATAGGGAATAAAAACACATTTTAATTATAAATATAAAAATTAATAATACTTGTTTCTTTTGCTAAATTATAACATAAAATCAATTTTTTTGCATTCTACTACCTAAGAAATTATTTTTTTCTCATGTAAAATTATATTTATTTTTACTGTCAAAATCATATTTTTTTTTTAAGTTTTAAGATCATCTTAAAAAAGAAGCTTTTTAAAATGAAACTCAAAAAAAAAAAAAATTATTACTTAATTTGTATAAGTAGTAAAAATTTAATGGTTAACTATGAAGCAAATTTTCATTTACTGTTAAACAAAATTATTATAAATCTGCATATCATATCTAGATACTGATATACTATAATACCAATAAATTTTTTATGTTCCATTTTATTATTAATTAAAAAACCTTTATATATCAATATTATATATGGTTTCATAATGTAACATATACTGATATTTTCTTTATCCCTTTATAATTAATATATAGTAGGATATATCAATATTTTAGATTAATCAAATATGTTAAATATATCTTGCTATTCCTTAGATTGTCTAGCAGGCAAATTTGCCTACGAAATTAAAAAAAATTGTTAATTTCTTTATAAAATATTAAATATTAATTTTAGTAATATTATTACTATATAAAA